ATCTATCTATCTATCTATCTATCTATCTATCTATCTATCTATCTATCTATCTATCTATCTATCTATCTATCTATCTATCTATCTATCTACAGAACTGTAAAGCTAACAAAATTGAAATTTGACACAAATATTCCTCTTGGCTTCTAGGTGCTTGCTAAGAAAGGATTTTTCAAAATGACCATCAGATCATTAGCATTTCTTATATAGTAATTAACACGTTCTGGTGCTAAGGAGTTCTACTCCCCCTCCCCACCTGAAAGGAACTCTGTTCCAACTGCCAGTTTCCTCACATTCTGTTACCTCAATTCAAACTGGCAGACATTCCACTCCTTCACTCAGGAGCGACCTGGAGCTCCTCACAGTACTAAACGCCGGGACCTCACTACAATGTCTATACCTTCCACCGATGAAACTGCTTTCAGACTCAAGGCCATAGGAGCAATATTCCCTTATGTATTTCAATCATCGATAATATACTGAGCCAGTATATTATGAACTGAATTTTTCCTGCATAGCCCGGTCACATAGTTTTGTCATGAAGTACGGGTATCCAGCAAGTTCTATATATATTTAAGTAAATGAAGGTGTAAGTTTATGGAAATTCATTGCATAACATGGGATAGTTGTGTTACAGTGTGTGTTAATGAGGCAGTGAAGGTGAAATGAGGGTGGCAAACACAATGGGTAACTTGAGTTCAACAAGCTGGACAAGTCTAGAAAACATATCTCTTAGAAGGTTGCATCCTTTAATGTGTGTGAAGGGGTCTTTGGTGCCCGCTGAGCTTGGTTGTTTTCTTGCAGACATTTCATTAACCAAAGTAGGTAACATCGTCAGTTCTAGAAAGGAGAGACATTTACAGGGAAGAGGAAGAAGACTGTGAGTCAATCAGAATCAGAATAGAGCTGGAAGGGACCTTGGAGGTCTTCTAGTTCAGCCCCCTGGTCAAGAAGGAGATCTCATACCATTTCAGACAAGTGATTGTCCAGTGTCTTCTTAACACCCTCCAGTGATGAAGCACACACAATGTCTGAAGACAAGCTGTCCCATTGGTCTTTAGTGCCCTTTGGGCTTGGTTGTTTTCTTGCAGATATTTTATTACCCACACTAGGTAACATCATCTGTGTTAGAAAGGAGGGAGGTTTGCAGAAAGGAAGAGGAACAGGAAGAGAAGGAGGAGGAGGAGGAGGAGGAACACTGTGAAAACCTTGGTGTTCTCTGAGCTTGGTTGTTTTCTTGCAGATATTTTATTACCCACACTAGGTAACATCATCTGTGTTAGAAAGGAGGGAGGTTTGCAGAAAGGAAGAGGAACAGGAAGAGGAGGAGGAGGAGGAGGAGGAGGAACACTGTGAAAACCTTGGTGTTCTCTGAGCTTGGTTGTTTTCTTGC